TTAGCCACTATGCTACCAGAACTCCCACTCATTGGTATATGTTCCTCTAAATCCACATAGAAGCTATCATTTAAACAAGGGTGATCTGAAATCATGAGTGCTGTTGGTAGGTGTGTATAGGGCACCAGGAAAAGACGATTACACAGGACAAGAGGGAGGTTGTACTGGGACGAATTTGCCTGGCAGCAGTTAAGTAGTGTGGGTCAGTTGTATTAGAAATGTTCATACTCTTAGTAGGAATTCAGTCAGATTTGCAAAGAAGTTTATCAGTGTGGTATTCACGGCAGCAATACAAAGAAAGAAACTTACTTCCATTTTAAATGGTGTATTTTCAATAATTTTTAAAGGCATAGGTAAAATGGAAACTACCAATTTGTGTATAAATAAAAGATTAAATAAAAATTTAAATGTATAGAAATAAAACTGGAAGCATGTTTTTCGAAAAGAAGTTACAGATTGGTTAACTTTCCCATATTCTTCTCTGAGTTTTACAAATTTTTCTAGCATGTGAGATATTTTATGATAGTTTTTAGGAGGCTTATTTGATAGTAAAAACATAAATACTTTATTATATGTAATAAGATTTATAGATTTCTTTTCATACATGTTATATGTAGTTACACAATTAAAATTATATAAATATACCATTATAAAATGATATGTTACGTTTATACCTGTATGTGTGAGATAAAGGCCTGTTACACCATAAAGTCATGTCAAGCACCAAGATGTATGGTGGGTTCCTGGGTTGGACCCACCCTTGGCCTTCATTTTCTTACAGGAGAAAGACATCACACCTGACCCCAAGCTCTTTGAGAAGGTAAGCGAGTGTGACCAGTACCTAGCCACCATGAGACATCAGGAGCACCCACTAGCCCAGCTCTCACCTGAGCTCTCTGATGTGTTCGACTTCTTCATTGCCCTCACCATCTGTAACACAGTGGTCGTCACATCCCCTGATCAGCCACGACAGAAGGCAAGTTCAGAGCTGGCATCTCCACCACCCTTACATTCCTGACCCTTGCTGTCCTTTGGTCAGCTTTCCTATTGGCAAGCTCCTGTGTGTACATGTGGGGCCCTGCTCAGCATAGACTCTAGGGAGTTTAACATGGAACAAAATAATCCTGTGTTCCACTGGTGTCACAAAAAGCTTCAGGAGGGTCGGGTGCCAGAATTGGAGCCATGAGGAAGAACAGATAGGCTGAGCCATCCTCCAAGGCCAGCATAAGGGGTTTGGAGCCAGAGAGTGGCTACCTGGATGCACCTTCACAGCCTGGCTTCTGTTCCACATGACTCTTCCAAAGCTGTAGGATCTTAGGCTCACACAGGAGGGATGAGAGGGCCAGGGCTAGAAGCCCTGACTAAAGAGACACTGGGACTTAGGTCCTGACTCTCCTGCTGACCAGCTAAGTGGCTCCAGGCAGAAACCCATCCTTGTGCTTCAGTCTCCTGGTCTGTGCTATGGGCTGTGGGGAGAAGTTGTGGACTCTTCTCAGTGCGGAATATGACACATAGTGTGTCTGATGCTAATAACAGTACCAACATTGGCATTCAAGGCAAAAGGACTGAAACATACTCTTGAAGTATCCAGAACACTCTCAGAAAGTCTTCTGTGGGTCAGCTAGGGTACATGGATGGTACAGGAAGTTGTGGAGGTATGCATCACAAGGCCACATGGCTGTAAGTAGATAAAATTTAAAGTCTCTGGGGTGGATGTGGGCCACAGGTCTGCTCCCCTGACCCCTTTTCTGGCAGCTGTCACATCCTCAGGCTCTATTACAGCCTCTTCCAGCCACAGAGGGAGGTGGGAGGTGTTAGAGAAGGATGTAGGGTAAAACCCTGCCTTCTCTGCTTCCAGTAGCAGCCTGTTCCATCTGCTGTCACTCCTGCCACACTGGTCAGCTGAGGGTCCTGACCACATAGATACTATAGGTTCTTTCCAGAGCTTTAGGCTGTATCAGTCAAGTTTCTCCAGAGAAATGCAATTGTGGGGCTGGGAAGTCTGAAATTTGTGGGAAGAAAATGGGCTGGAAACTCAATCAAGAAATCTATGTTACAGTCTTGGTTTAGAATTCCTTCTTCTCCAGGTTTTTAATCTTACACCTTCAACAGATCAAAAGAGGCCCACCACATTAAGGGTAATTTGGTTTACTGATTGTAAATGTTAGTCACATCTACAAAATACCTTCACAGACATATCCAGAGTAATGTTTAAATAAACAACTGGGAACCATAGCCTAGCTAAGTAGACATATGAAATTAACCATCACAATCCACCTCTTGTTGACATAGCACCCATACACATATCTCCTTAAACCAAAAAACAAACCCATTGCCATCAAATCAACTCTGACTCATGGAGAACCTGTGTGTGTCAGAGTAGAACTGTGCACAATAAGGTTTTCAGTGGCTGTTTTTTTGGAAGTAGATTACCAGGACCTTCTTTTGATGGTGCTTCTGGGTAGATTCAACCCATAATCTTTTGGTTAGTCCTTACCAAAAAACCAAACCCCCTGCCATCAAACTGGTTCCAACTCAATGACCTTATAGCAAAGAGTAGAACTGCCCCACAGGATTTCCACAGCTGTAAATCTATGGAAGCATACTGCCTCATCTTTCTCTCACGGAATGAATGGTGAGTTTGAACTGCTGACCTTTTGACTAACAGCTGAATGCCTTAACCCGCTACATCGCCAAAGCTCCTTGGTTAGTCCTTAAGCCATATTTAATCTCAAAATAAATAAATAAATGCAATAATGAAATCCTAATTCAACCTAACATGATGCAACTATTTTGGGTATAACTGAAAATGCACTAACCCCTTCTCCAGAGAGGATCAAAAAATGTGTATATGCTGACTATTTTGGATATTTAAAGAGACAGCATTCTCTCAGATTCCTGTGGTGGTAGGACTTAAGAATTAACCTAAAAATTCTCCTGCTAGCCAGGAACTGCACAGAGTACTGTGCACGGTGGCTGGGGAACAAATGGAGAAGGTGAAGAGAAAGGTGTGCTGAGTTGTGGACTTTGCCAGTCCGGAGGGCACCGCCATTTTGAAGGTTTAAAAAGAGGCTTGACTATTTTGGATATTTAAAGAGACAGTGCTCTTGCAGATTCCTGTGGTGGTAGGACTTAAGAATTAACCTAAAAATCCCCCTGCTAGCCAGGGACTGTACGGTAGACTGTGCACGGTAGCTGGGGAACAAACGGAGAAGGTGAAGAGAAAGGTGGGCTGAGCTGTGGACTTTTGGCGGTCCGGAGGGCACCGCCATTTAGAAGGTTTAAAAAGCGGCTTGACTATTTTGGATATTCAAAGAGACAGTGCTCTCACAGATTTCTAGGGCTTAGGAACACATTCTGCTTTCCAGCAACCCCAAGGACACTCGGGGCCTGCAAGACTGAAAAGGTACGACATTCTTATTGTTACTACGCCCTACACCCGCTTGGTGAATGGAGGTGTGGCCATCCCCACTCCCACCTACCTTCTGGGCCCACAGGAACTCCATCACAGTCTGTGTGCTCCGACAGAGCCTGGGTTCCCTACCCAGTCCACCGATTTTTTCTTTTTCCCGGTGATTAGTTTGCTTGTATTTGTCCGTTTCAAACCAACTAATATTATTAATACTTTTGTCCTTTTTATTATTATT